AAATGAATTAATATGTAAACTCAACCTACTGAGTCCATTTAGTGTTGTTTATATGTTTTGCTTTAGGGATGGTCACTTGGGGTGTTGGACAAGCAACAAGGGGACTCACCCCTGTGGAAGACTGCTTCTCCCTCTCTCAGGAGGCATTATTTGCCTGTACATCCTCATCTGGGGCCTGGTAAGGTTTTGCCTATTCACATAGGCACTGAGTGAGGTAACTCAGACCCAGGAAGACAAAGTCTGCATGTTCTGTCATTTCTGAGGTTCCCAGCTCCAAATCTTCAGATGCGGGTCTATAACCTGGAGGAACCACAGAAACCAGGAAAGTAAAGAAAGGTCCATGGTGGGAGGCAGGGAGGGGCAGGGGTGCTGTGGAAGTTGAAACGTGCAAACAAGGGGGTGCTTTATATGTGGGGGGAAGGAAAGTAACAGTAAAGGAGAGGGAGAGAAGAGAAAAAAGCAACACCAAGTCTGTTTGGGAAAGCCACAGGTCATATTTCTTTGTGTTTACCTAAGGCTACATGTAATATATAGGTGTATGGGTTTGTATATGTGTAGAGTTTAAAGGAAGTCACACTACAATGCTTCCTTTTAATAGCACAGACTAACACAACCCCACTCCCAGGCATGGGAAACTCACTTTTGGGTTGTTGGTCAGGTGGAGTCCACTGGTGGCCTCCCAGAACTCGAGGGTGAATGCCTATTGCTGAAGACACCATACACTATGGACACAGGACTTGGAGTAATCAACCTAGGCCCAGAAGCCTCCTCCCTAAGGATGGGTTTTCATGGTACCAGCAGATGCTATGCAAGCCACCATGGGAGAAAAGCAATCCCTAGTCTACCCAGTGATACCAGCAAATCACAACTACTCTGTCCTGGAAAGATGTCTCCAAAGAAGCAATAGTGGCCTTGTATCTTGATGGCACCTAACAGCTCTCCAATTGGACTTCCAACCTACACACAATATGGAAATTCATGCCTGGTACCACAAGCCTACAACTACCTGGACAGTGAGGTCATGGAACCTAGAGGGGAACCACTTTCCTAAAGCAGGGAAAGTCTGCGTTCTGGATACTAGTTTTATATCCACTGCCAAGAGCAGCTCTCTCCTCTCCTTAAAGTAGTTTCTTTAAGCAGCAGATAGAGACCATTACAGAGAATAATTGATGTGGGATTCCCCTCTGTATGCTGGGAATATGTTTTATTACCATTAGTTAATAAAAAAGCTGTTTGGCCAATGGCTTCGCAAAGTCAGGCAGAAAATCTGAACAGAGATGTATAGAGAGAGAGTAGGTGGAGTTGAGGAGTAGCTGCCGAAGGAGAACGATGCTGGAACCATTCTAGTGGTGATACATAAATTAATAGAAATGTGTTAATTTAAGATATAAGAATCTTATAGCTAGCTAGAAATATGCCTGAGATCAGCCAAACTGTTGTAATTAATATAGTTTCTGTGTGATTATTTGGGTCTGGGCAGCTGAGAAACCACTGTGCAGACTCCACTTACAAATAATTCACCATGGTGCAGAGTGATGGTGGTGGAGGTCATAGAGGTGCAGGTTATGGTGGAGGTGGTGGTGGAGGTGGTGGTGGTGGTGATGGTGGTGGAGGTGGTGGTGGAGGTGGTGGTGATGGTGGTGGTAATGGTGATGGTGGTGTTGTGGTTAGATCCATTTGATACATCTACAAGACAACACCTTAATGCCCAGGGAACATCACTGAAAAGGAGGCAGAAAAACTCTAAGAGTCAGAAGACCTGGACATCTGCTTTGAATATGTATCCTTCTACATATGACCAGAAGCCACTCCCACGAAATCTCAATAACCTGGCTGCCTTTGCACCTGTTTATTTATGCTTGGGTCCTCACATCTGTGCAGCAGTTTACTGCCTGAGCCACTTCTGCTGCCCCATTAAAAATCATTTTTAACTCTAAGAGACATGCTTTCATGGCAATACAAACTTCCTATTTGCCACAAGTACAATTTTCCTGCTGGTGGGAAACAGACAAATCACGATATTGACAGTGACAGACATAGCCTGGCAGAAGGCAGGGAGACAGGCTGCACTCTGGACAGAGGCTCCTGGCACTGTGGCCACTGCACAGGGACAGGGAGGCAGCCAAGGGCTCAGCAGCCTTCCTTTGGAATCATCCTCTTCCACATGCTGATAGAATCTTTCCACTTCAGACAGAATCTAAAAATAAAAGTGTGCTCATTTGTTTGTTCGAGAGGGGAGGGAGGTGGCACAAAACAGGACAAAGGAACCGAGAGTCCGTGTCTAGAAGACTTGCCCCCTAATCCCTAAGCAACATCTTCTCTGATGCCTGGTACCTTCCGTCAAGCGGAGATGGCACTCTTCTCTCTTTAGGGTGTTTAGAGAAACTTGATGAGTGCGGGGCAAGAACTTACACCTGAGCTTGGAGACTGGCCTCCCTGAATGTGTGTGTGTGTGTGTGTGTGTGTGTGTGTATGGTGGTATGTGTGTGGTATATGTGTGTATGTATGTGGTGTTTTGTATGTGTATTGGTGTGTGGTGTATGTGGTGTGTGTGTCTGTGTGTGTTGGTGTGGGTGTAGTATATGTGTGTGTGGTCTGTGTGTCTGTGTGTGTTGGTGTGTGTTGTATATGTGCATGTGTCTGTGTTGGTGTGTGATGTATGTGTATGTGTGGTGTGTGCCTACGTGTGTCTGTGTGTGTTTGTGTGTGCGTTGTAAGTCTATATCTCTGTGTGTGGTTGTGTGTGTTGTGTGCCTGTGTATCTGTGTGTGTGTGTTGGTGTGTGGTCTATGTGTAGGTGGTGTGTGTCTGTGTGTTATTGTGCTCTGCCACATTTGGAACTTTGTTGACAACTTTTCTCAGCGTGCAGGGAAAAGTGGGGCTACCCTTTTCTGTCAAGCTGGTTTTAAATGAAGAGAGTGTACCGAGGGTGGGGGGCTGGAGAGATGGTTTGGCGGTCTGAGCATTCGCAGTCCCTGAAAAGAAGCAGAGTTTGTTCCCAGGCACTAGCGTGGCTGCTCAGACATCCTTAACTCCAGTTCCGTGGGGTCAGACGCCCTCTTCTGGTCTCTGTGGACACTACACACATGTGGTGCAGGTATGTTCATTCCGACACTCCTACACATAAAATAAATCTTTAAAGGGGGGGGCATACTAAGAGGACGGTTAGAGTGTAGCGGTGACCAGCCTCTCTCTCTCTCTCTGAATAGTTTGTGACGTTGTCTTTATTATGTGTCTGCATGTAACCCTTGGGCAACTCCAGAATTTTAACACGCTTGACGAGGCTGAACAAATTGACGTGTTCAGCCACCCACCTCTCAAAAGCCATCTTCTTATTGAACATGTACTCTAGAGAGAGGATCTTGGTGGGTTTGTGGTAAAGCAGATACTTGTTCAGGTGACTCTCGCCGTGCCCCAGGGCGTCAATGTCATTGGACTGATCCATTACCATCATCTGGTGACAGGCCGCAGTGAGCCTGTGGATCTCTGCCACTGATCCCCCAAACAAGGACCCTGTGTAGTAAAAGTCCCCCTCATCGTTTGGGATGTAAGCTTGTGACTTAGGCCGCCGTTCGTAGGGTAATACCTCCCGGTTGGCCATGTAGAAGCTCAGATGGAGGGTGGCAAACAGAGGAGAGAGAATCTCCACACCCACGTCGTGCTGGAAGGTGACGTCCACATCGGAACACACCAGATAAGCCACCTCCTTGTGAAAGTGCTGTTTGGAATAGACGCTGATGAACTCCAGGCGCTGCCTGGAGATGTCCTTCTGGTGCTCAAAACTCGGGATCTGGAAGGTGATCACTTTCCTTCCGCTCTGGAGGGGGATCCGAGGAACCGCATGAGGTTGGTCAGTAAAGATGTAGTAGTTCACCCTGTGTCCCGCCATGAAGAATGTCTCCGCGGACCTTAGGAACTGCTCCAGGTACGCCATGTAGTTTTGAGAAGCAAACACAGTCAACCCAATGGTAACATTCCGGAGTTGGAACTGCTGGTTTAAGATGTCAACGTTGAATGTCCCTTCCCACACAATCGGGGCGAGCCAACTGGTCAACACAAGGACATCTCTCCTAGCGGGTTTCAGTACACTTGGCTGGGGATATATCAGTTTTGGTAATGGTTTATCTTGCAGCCAATACTGTTCTCCCTCAGCCACGACTGCCCTGATTAGCTCAGTCTTGTGAATCTGGCTCTTCTGGTGCCAGTAGCCACAACCAAAGATGGCCAAGGCCAGAGCAATGAGAAGAAAAGTCACTTGGTGACGTGACAAGTATTGCATAGACAATGTCCACAATGACCTGGCCATGGCCCACGTCCAACAGATGTAGGCTGGATCTGTTAACACGCTCAGCGCCCTGCCCCTGCCAATAGAAGACGTGAAATGCACAGATCATGGGACATGCCTGTTTCCTGCACTCCTCCTGAGCCCCTAGCACAGTTCAAGAGGTACCTGAAAGCAGGGTGTTCAGGGTTCCCCAGCGGACGGTTCCAGAGACGCTACATAAGTTCTTAAATTCAGTTTTGGTTTGAGGTTACGCCAAAAAAATGGCTCAGGAGGACCAAGTCAGCAGGCAAATGGATCTTCAGGGCCAGAATGCGGAAGTCAGGGCTCCTGAGACAGGGTGATGTGAACACTGAGCGGATGAAGGGCAGATTGTGATGAAAGCGGGACAGGCAGGGCCACCAAGGGGTCAGAAAACCTGTGCCCTGCCCTGCCCTTCGCCCTCCATGGCTTGAAACCCTCATTTACACGAGGCATCATTTGAGAAACATGACCTAGAATCCCAGTAAGAGTGTGGCATGCTTGTGCGTGTAGATGTGTGTATGTGTACTTGTGTGGCATGCTTGTGCGTGTAGATGTGTGTATGTGCAAGGGTGAGAGGAAACCTCCAGGTGTTAGTCTTAGGAATGCCATCCACTTCCTTTGTAACAAGTTTTCATTGGCCCAGAGCTCAACAACTAGGCTTGATTGGCTAGTCAGTCAGCTCTGCTGATTCTCCTGCCTCTGCCTCCCCAGCACTGGGATTTCAAGTGCATGTCATCAAGCCAGGCTTTTTGTTTATTTATTTATTTTTTTAATCTGGAAAGTTGTCCTTTATTAATTCTATTTGTAGAGAGTTTGTTGCCTGTGTATGAGGAGCCAATTGATACACTGCGTTCTGTCTCATCGATCTGTTCATCTGTCCTCACAGCAGAACACACTGCCCTGGTTACAATGTCTGTCCATCTGTCCTCACAGCAGAACACACTGCCCTGGTTACAATGTCTGTTCATCTGTCCTCACAGCAGCACACACTGCCCTGGTTACAATGTCTGTTCATCTGTCCTCACAGCAGCACACATTGTCCTGATTTTTTTTTTTTTATCTGTCCCGACAGCAGTACAAGCTGCACTGGTTACAATGTTAGATCCTGTATTGATGGCAGACATAAGGTGTTAATACACTCCAACTTTGGCCTGCAATTTCAAAAGTAACTTAATCCAGGCTTTTTAAAATAGATGCTTGGCCTAGAACCCAGGTACTATTGCTTGCAATGCAAGCACTCTACTGACTGAACGGTCCTCCAGCCCCATGACAAGTTGTTTTTCAAATGTGCCGTAGGCTTCCATTTCAGCTGACTCTCGGACACCGCCCACCTGTGCTGTAGAGTTTTATGTCAGCTTGACACAGGCTGACGTCATCTGAGAGGGAGCCTCAGTTAAGAAAATCCCTCCAGTTCCAAAGGGTTAGAGCCTATGACCATCTTGACAGCAAGCACGGTGGCAGGCAGGCTTAGCACTGAGCAGTAGCTGAGAGCTTACATCTGATCCCCAAATATAAGACCGAGAACAAACACCCTGGGAATGGAGTCAAGGACCTCGGCTCATGCTGCCCTCATATATACTGAAGATCATCTGACTGCCCTCTCCTGAAGCTAATACAAAGAATTCAGAGCACACACAGTGGGCCCATGAGGACATGGTGTGGTGGTTTGAATGAGAATGGGCCTATAGGTTCATATGCTTGAATGGTTGCTCACCAGTTGGTGGAACTCTTTGAGAAGGATGGGAAGGTGTGGCTTTGTTAGAGGAAGCATTGCAAGTGCGCTTTGAGATTTCAAAAGCCCATGCCAGGCCCAGTGTCTCTTTCTTCCTGCTACCTGAAGATCCAGATATAGAACTCTCAGCTACTTCTCCACAGCAACAGAAGACTAAGACAGACCCAGTCTCAAAAACAAAAAAATCAGCCAAAAGGGAAATGCAATAACTGAGCAAATGAACCCATTAGCAATGAATAAACATTCACATGAAAGCACACCATCTTTGTCTTATTTCCTTTTATTTTTAAAACAATTGTTATTATTATCTATTGTGCACGTGCACGTGCATGTGCGTGTGTGTGTGTGTGTGTGTGTGTGTGTGTGTAACAGAACATGTGTGGAGGTCAGAGAATAACTTACAAAAGTCGGTTTTTCCACCATGTGGGTCCTAGGGATGTAACTCAGGCCATTGGACTTGGTGACTGTTGTTCTTACCTATGAGCCATTTCATCAGTTTATTTTATTATTTTTTTAAAGAATTGTTTCTGTGTGTGTATTGTACATGTGTGTGCACCCACAGAGGCCACAAAGAGGGCTTGATCCCTTGGAACTGGAGTTACAGGCATTCAAGAGCCTTCCGATGGGGGTGCTGGGAACCAAATTCGGGCCCTCTGTAATGCAATCTTACCCAACACAGGAACAAGTGCTTAGCTGGATCTATGGCTGAACACCTCCGACCTGGCAACAGGATGGGAGGTCTGGGTGATGAGCCGGTCCCTCGTCTCCTGGACCATACATCACTTAGGCCTTGAGACAAACGTGAGCCATGTCTCTATGTGACCGCATGCTAACTGCTTCTGTGGTTGCTGTGAGCAGCTACCTGACATGATGTCCAGGACCTGTCCTAACCATGCTCATCTCCGATCTCTTCCAGCACAGGCCTTGAATGTGAGATTAAATTTAGTGTTTTTTTTTCCCTTTAAATGTACATTGCATATTTCTTTGGGGGAGGAAAAGTACACGATCTTACGGTGAACCCACCTTTCTAGGGTTGGCCCAACACTCAAGGGAGGCGACAAGAGAGTGTCTCCATCTAGAGGGGTACCCTATTCCTATCTTTCCATAGCCTATAAGATATTCATCTCTGGGAGAATACAACCTGAGACAGACCGAGAACACTCCTGACTCCCTCCCCAGCTCAGCTTGTGGGAGTCCCTGATAGCAAACACCACATGGCAAAGAGAGGTGTGCCCGTGAAGGAGGGAGGAGCAGGAATAATCCTTAGAAGTCTTTGTTACATCCCCGTGGCTTGTCCGGTGGAAGCCGGATTCCGGGAGCAAGCACATCGCCTGTGTGGACAACAGTCACCATCCACGACCATGGGGTGCTTGCTATTCTCCGCCGGCTTATTACAGGGACGCCTATAAAACCATTCCTTTTTATGGATATGTAGTAGATTGCCACACATAGAGAAGATTAAGACAGCATCCATTTATTGATTTATGCATTTATTGTTATCTTTGCCTGGGGGGGGGGAGCTGTGGAATAATCCTTTTGTGCACTTGAATATGTATTACTCTCGTTGGCTCAATAAAAAGCCAACTGACCAACAGCTAGACAGGAAAAGGTTAGTCGGGACTTGCAGATAAAAACAGAGTGCAGGGAAGAAGGCGGCAGAATTGCCAGCGAGATGCAGAGGAAACAGGAGATGATCATGCCATGCTGAAAAAATGGCACCCGCCATATGGTAGAGTGTAGATAAGAAATATGGGTTAATTTAAGTTGAAAGAGCTAGTTACTAACAAGCCCAAGCTATTGGCTGAGTGTTTATAATTAGTAATAAGTCTTATGTGGTTATCTGGGGAGCAGGCAGTCTGACGAAAAGCTCCGCCTACAGAGAGAGTGGGGGGATGCATGCTGTATGTACCTCTACAGTTCAGAAGATAATCTCAGAACAACAACACCCATTTAGCATCTAACTTTTTTGTTTGTTTGTTTTTGGTCTTGTCACTGTAATTTTGTTTTCTTTTTTTTTTTTTAAATAAACCAGGAGTTTAAATTGCTCCAAAACCATAGAAAGAAAATGAAGAACACACAGAAGTTTGTGAGGTGGGGAGGGGAAGGAAATGGAGGTGCAGAGTGTACTAGTGCAGACCAAGCTGACAGGTTGGGATGAGGCATTGGGCTGGACGAGGGGAGCTGGAGAAATGGTTCAGTGGCTAAGAGCACTCGCTGCTCTTCCTGTAAACCTGGGTTTGGTTCCCTGTGCCCATATGGTGGCTCACAATCACCTGTAATTCCAGCTCCGGGGGAATCAATACCCTCTTTTAGCTTCTTTGAGCGTGCGCGCGCGCGCGCGCGCACACACACACACACAGCATGTACTCACATAGACATGTCTGCACATACATGTAAATAATATTTTTAAGTTGGAAAACTTGGATGAAGTCTGCTCGAGTTATTAGAAGGCCAAAGACAAGGTGTAAGCTGACTGGGCTTGCAGAGGAAGGAACAGAATGAAGGCCTCCGCAAGGGCTCCAGGAACACTGCAGAGGGTTGCTTATGTTAGCTTCTCGGCCGGGAACTGCTAGGCCTATTCTGACCACTAGAGGGCACAAGAACCACGATCCCTGTGCCTTCCACTGGCGGCTTCTGCTCCTTCCAGCAGCTGTGGCCCAAAAGCCAGCAGCAGAACCTCCGGCTCTAACTCCAGACTCACAGATCTGTTCATCGTTGATGCTCTCAGGCGTTTCCTACACACGGAAAAAGCATCTGAATTCGGTGTTTTTCATCCTTGACTATGTGCGAGAGCTGTTGGAGTTTTTAAAAATGCCTGTTTCTGATTGGAGAGATGTCTTAGTAGTTAAGAAAGTTTGCTTCCTGCTCTTGGAGAAAACCTGGATTCAGTTCCCAGAACCCACATGGCAGCTCATAACCGCCTATAAATCCACCTCAAGGGGGGTCCAACTCCCTCTTCTGGCCTCTGTCAGTACCTGTATGCATGCGGCATACGTAAACTTATACACACAAATATGTGTTTTTATGTACATACATATATAATATATGCATATATAATACATGTATTTTAAAAAACGATTTTTCCTGATTTCAAGCCTGATGTGATTATGCATGCTGGGGTCATAATGGTTCATTATGAAACAGAAGGCTCGCAGTGAGTTCAGAACCAGCTGGAGTATACAGCTAACCCTGTCTCAATCTCCTGCCCTCCCAACTCTTCCCCCTCCTGAGCCCTGTCCTGTTTAAGGCCATGTCATTCTAGAACAGAGAAGAGGATGATTTGGGGGGAGAAAAGGAACCAGAGAAGGGGATGGGGAGATGGAGGTGGGCAATGGAGGAAGATGTGATTAAGAACAAATACACCGTCTGTATGAAAATGCAATAATAAAAACCATCACGTTGTATGCTAACCTTAAAAGTCAACTAAGCCAGGTGTGGTGGCGCACACCTTTAATCCCAGCACTCAGGAGGCAAAGGCAGGCAGATCTCTGTGAGCTCCAGGTCAGCCTAGTCTACACAGTAAATTTTAGGACAGCCTGGGCTATGTATTAACCCTACTTCAAGAAAATAAAAATAATTAATTGAAAATTTCCTGATTCGTGGGCCTCCACCTCCAAAGACTATGGCTTTTCCTGTTCTGGGGTGTGGTGAGATTATTTTTTGTTGTTTTGTTGTTGTTGTTTTTGTTGTTGTTGTTGTTGTTATTATTATTATTATTGACAGAGTGTTTCAACTAATGGTGGCACATGCCTTTAATTTCAGAACTCGGGAGGCAAAGGCAGGTCGATCTCTGAATTTGAGGCCGGCTTGGTCTACAGAATTAGTTCCAGGTCAACCAGGACTACACAGAGAAACTCTATGTCAGCAACAACAAAAAGGAAAACCCTAAACAGGTTTTAGCATCGGAAGGTGATTCCGTCAGCACAGCGCCTATTGGGTAAGCACAGGACCCTGAGCTCGGATCCCCGGGATCCTTGTCAAAAGCTCAGCTTGGAGGTCTAGCCCTGTAACTCTAGCACTGGGCTGGCCTTGGACCCACAGAAATCCCTGCTTCTGCCTTCTAGATGATAAAATTAGAGACAAGCACCACCAGGCCCGGCAGGAGTTTGCCATTTTGACTAGCCTGGCTGAGCAGTGAGGCCTGGGGTCTGCCATTCTCCATCCCCAAGGACTGTGTACAGACGGGCATCACCAGGCCATCAGGGCCAGCTTTCTACACGAGTGCTGGGGGCACAACTCAGGTCGTGTGTGTGTGTGTGTGTGTGTGCGCGTGCGCGCGCGCGCGTGCACATGCGTATGTGTGTAAGACAAAAACTAAGGAACCCACTCTGGAGGTCGCTAACCAGTCGCTATGGTAATGACATCAGTCCATTCCTGAAGACGGCGCCTCCGTGAACTAATCACCTCTGACAGGCCTCTTCTCTTAATAGTGTTGCAACAGCAATTCAATTTTCAATGACTTTGGAGAGGACATTCAGACCACGGCGTCATTCCTCTCTCAAGCGTTTCTTTCCTCTCCAGCCACCCTCCCCAAACTGATATCCTACAATTCTTATTGAATTAATTTTCAGGGACTGTGTCATGTGCCTAGGAACACAGGCATCAAGGTGAGGCATGTGTGTCCCACCGTCAGAGTTCCTCCTTGGGCAGCCCTCATTGTTCTTCCTTCTGCATGGAGCTGTGCCCATTTCTCCATCTGAGGGTTGTCATCTCTGGTTTCTTTGTTTTTCTGCCCTACTCCAGAGCTCTGGGCTGTGGAGCACTGGGCTGTGGAGCACTGGGCTGTGGAGCACTGGGCTGTAGAGCTCTGGGCTGTGGAGCACGGGGATGTGGAGCACTGGGCTGTGGAGCACTAAGATGTGGAGCACTGGGCTGTGGAGCACTGGGCTGTAGAGCTCTGGGCTGTGGAGCACGGGGATGTGGAGCACTGGGCTGTCACTTCGCTATCATATTGTATCTGTCCTTCATTTCTGTTTCATGGGATCCACTCAAAACACAACTCCAGAGGGAATGGAGCTAATTTTTTCAGAGTCCCAGGTAAAAGCATTGTTGAGGGAGCCTGGCAGTTTGAGTTCAATTCCTAGGACCCATGTGAACCAGCTTCACATAGCTGCCCCTGGGCCCCCACATGTCCACTGTGGCACACAACGGTAATTTTATTTTTAGTGTAAAACGAGGGGCTGGACGGGTGGCTCTGTGGTTAAGGATGCTTGCTGCTCCATCAGCTGACCCCAGTTGGCTGTCAGGACTCACATTAGGTGGTCCATAACTGCCTGTAATGCCCTTCCAGGGGATCCAACACCCTCCTCTGTCCTATGGGGGCACTTTCACACACTTGGCATAGACAGATAAGTAAAAACAAACTGTCTAAAAATTTTTTTAAATATAAAAAGAGATAATTTATTCTGAGTCAAATAAGAGTGGCCACAGCCCAAGATCACAGACTCAGGCTACCCCACATGACCGCTGCCCTTTAGAACTTCAAGAGTCACGGAAGACAGCCACAAAACAACGCCTATAACCAGACACGTTGCTGGGGCCTTGAAGTTAGCAGGTGGTACTAGAAAGGGGCTAGCCTCTCCTACAGGGGCCAGACCCTGTCTTTAACATCTTAGTGTTGGGGACCTGGAAGCCAGTGGTCTTCTAGGCAACTGCAGTCCTAGGACTCGAAGACACTAGGTCAGACGCAGAGGTCGCTAACGCGTGGCTATTAAGGGGACTGGAGACAGGCTGAGACGATGCTGATTGCCCATCCCGCAGCACTCCGCCTGTCTGCAATGACAAGGTGTCTAACCAGTCAGCCCGCGCGGCCTCCAAGCCAGGTGGGTCTTCTTCAGGCAGGGCAGACTCTGCTCACATTACTTCCATCACTTTGGTGGAAATGTCTTCCAGAGGCCTCCTCAAAGAAGGCTCACTGGTAATCTTTCCAGATACTGTTTGATTTTTCGAGACACTGTTGCCCCCAAATGGCTACTCTTGATTACACTTGGTTGGTTGCTGCCTGGAAGTTAAGTTAAACAGCTGTTCTCTTTCTCGTCCCCAGACCTTCCAGTGTCCTTCCAGCTACCATCTGGAACAGAAACCCACCCCTCTCGAATCTCGTTCCTACATCGACCAACTGTGCTGTGTGTTCCCCATGTCCCCCCTAATCTTGTTCAGATGTGGGAAGCTCCTTTCAGTGTGTCTTTAATGTTTTACCTGCTACTCTATTTTCTCTTTCCTGAAATTCTGGATTTATACTCCAATATTATTTTTTCTATTCTTTTCCAGGCTTGAGTTTTAGACTCTTCTTCGTCATGTAATATTTGTAGATAATGTTTCATTTGCCAGCTTAAATTTTTTTTTTTTTGAGA